AGAGAGTATCTTTCCTTGATATATCAGTGGTTTGAAATTTTCAGTGAATAAAAGTTCGACAAAATGACGCCAAGTATTCTGATTGTTATTAGAAGGGGACACAACTTTTTCGCTCAACCGTTCATCTCTCTGACTGCACACTGTCCGTCTTTTGTTGCATTTTCATCTCGTGTTGGATGTCTGGGTAAAAATATATGTTCAACTATAACAATTCCATAGGGAAGGCGGAGCTTGGGGACGTAGGGGGGAGGAGCGGGGGAGGGGGAGGGGGAAGGAAGAGGGGAGGCTAGACAAAAGTATGCTTTAGCACAGATGCGTATCCAGAATATAAGAGAAAGGAAAAGAAAACGAAGCCTTCCAATCAAAGTGATCGGTCAAATCGCCACAAGCTTGAACGCGCAAGTGACTCGAAAGTAAACTTCATTTAATTTGGTTTTATCAGCTGAAGTTACGCAATATAACTTGGCCACTGTAAGGAGTTTCTAAAGCTGACATTTGGAATGTTAGCCCTCGAGTGCTAACGCTCGAAACGTCATCTTTAGAAACTCTGTACGGTGGCCAATTTACGTTTTCAGTTTAGTTAATAAAACCAAAATATCTTGTTATATTCCCCACCGACGCAGCGCTAGCACCACAGTTTCTTTAGAAACTTACCCCTGCTCCAAATTTTAATTACCTCGAGTCATGCGCGGGATAATAGCATATATACCCCTTTCTGTAAACTTGACTTCCACTTAAGGGTATATCAGGGGTTCGGCGCATGCGTGTGTGTGCGTGTGCGTGTGCGTGTGTGTGTGTGTGTGTGTGTGTGTGTGTGTGTAAGTGGGGAAGGGGGAGGGGGATGTTGGAAGGAGAATGTCCACATCCCTTTGTAAACTTCACTTCCCTCAAGGTTACATGAAGGGTTTGGTGACGGTGGGAGAGAGGTAGGGAGAATATTGAACCCCTCTTTCTAAAATTGTCCTCCCCTCCTGGGTGAATGATGGGGAAGAGAGAGGTCGGGACGAAAGGAGCGTGCGGAAAAATTGATAGTTTCAGGGTACGACTCCCCCTCCTGCCCTTTTTGGTTAATTCACGATCTTTGTTTTATTATACATGGATAGCTTTTCAGACATGCATAACTCAAGCTTGGTGTTTCGTTTTTGCCTATTTAGTTTGCTCATCATACTTTCCCAGGGTTCTCTTTGTAAAATGGCGGACGGTGTTCGAGCTTGTGCAGATACACAACGCGTCCTCTTCAGATCTTGTTTAGGGAGGAAAAAACACCAAAAGAATAACGGATGACGGCGAGCTCAAGACATGCCTTTTTTCTGTACTTTTCTCGGGCTTGAAAAATGGTGTAGCATTAAGGATTCTTCAGTAATATTTAGGCTGTTTTTCGTCCAAGTTTGGAACCAGTTTAGGGGCTTTAATGATTCCTAACTTTGCATTATAGATGAAGTTTAGCAAGTGAAAAAAAAAAGTTTGATCTGGAAGAACATTCCTGCAAACCTGTGAAGTGGGGTAATTTTGTACATTTTAGGTTCCTTTTGGACTGTTAATAAGATAATTTATGGCGGAGTGCGAGGATTTACGCGTCCAAAGAAATCACTTCGGGAACCACTTAAACACACGTAAAAGCACATAGAGTATGCAGCGAAAGATTGTACTATAAGTCGACTTCATTTTGTGATCTTGAAGAAACTGTCACCTCCAGCGGTTCTAAGATAGGAGCAATTATTAAAAGATGGTCAGTTGAAATTGCACGGTTTTCCTTGTTATGATTTTTGCGACACGTCGATGCGCGTGCGTGGCAGCTATGCTCTCACGGATTTCTGGGCATGACATCGTACTTAAGTAGTAAAGAAGAAATGGAAGTTGCGAGTACGGTTCAGCCCTTCGAAGAAGAAGCACGTGCATCAAACGAAGATTTCGACAAAGACTCGCAAAGGAACGAAGACGGTTTCTCGCCGGCGGTGTTAAGGTCAAGATTAGAACAAAAAAACTCCCGTGACTGAATTTTAAGTTCGTTGCGTTTGTTCTATTTTCTGTGGCGAAATATAGGGTAAGAATGGGTAGCTGTCTTCTTTTCTGTTGCTATAAAAACTTATTCCTTTGCACTTGGTGCGGCGAGGGCTCCCCTTGGTCAATGCTCTTGAGTTTCGTTGCTGTAGGGTAATTCTCTTGGAGAAGTCATCGGTCAGTTTTACTGCAAGTTTCTCCTTTTCTCAGAGATTGAAAAGGTAGAGGCTATTGCTAGGCTATCGGCGTCGGGCCGGTCAACAGGAAAACGATTGAGTTTATACTCATTTGATTAAAGTTTATCTCAAATAAGGCTTTAAATGGAGAAAGACCTCTTTAGTTTGAGTGTAGCATTGCCACATGACCCATTTCGCTCACAAGCAAATAACCAACAACAGTGTTGTAAATGAATATTTCGTATGCTTCGACTTTCACACAGCACTTGGATTCGCTACTATCAAATTCAATAGCATTTGTGTTTCACAATTCATCGTGCTGCAGTGCTGTTATCACAATAACATTGCTATTTTTGCTTCTTTTAGTTTCTTGAGAGCAGAGGGGAATTGATGGCTTATGTGGTGGACTTTCGGAAACCTAGGTTGGGAGAATACAAGGCCTCTTCGAGATTGAGTTTATGCCAGTATCCGCCAGAGGTTTAGCACTATTCAGGCAACAGGATACCGGTCACCTCAGGAAAGGACTTGACCTTTATAACAAATGTATTTCTGTTGTTAAAATGCGATTGAAACTACAACTAGTGGGATTTTGAAACGATCAGAGAAGCGCAAATGCAGTCATGTGGAAAGACAAAGGGTATGAGTACATCTCAAGCACGTGAAATAAACAACATTAAGAAGCTCACCATTCTTCGTTAAGGAAACGTCAGCCGGAAAGATTGTGGAATAATCATGTCCGATGTGGGAATAGGCCTCTTAATCAGCATTCTTTTTAGCTGAATTCATTGGCAATCTAAGTTCCCCAAATTTGACCAGTGGTGCGTGTTCGTAACAGCCGTCTTCGAAGGCGAGATGGAGCAGAGGCCGGCGACTTTGAAGAATAAAATCTCCTCCGTGACGACGATCGAAACGCGTCCATTTTGGCCATAAAGCTACATCCTTTGGAAAGTATTGTATAGAAATACCTGGTATATGTTTATCATTCTTGTAACTAACATCATTTAGCGCTCCTGCCACGCAATCCGTTCGTCGTCTCTTCCTAATTTCTCCTTTCTTCACCAAAGTTTCTTCACATTTCTATGTCACAGCTACGTAACATAATCGTTTTGGCCGCGCGTAAAAAAATGGGGACATCTGTTTGCCGCCAAATCGTACTTTCAATGCGAAAAAGAATGGTCAAGAAGAACTCGCAGGGTGCAAAGGTCGACGAATACAGCTATCAACCAGAAAAACGTAAAAAAAGATATAGGCACTTTATGTCTCTCCAATCAATTTTTTTCCTTTCGTCTTATATTGTTTAAAGGCTGGTGAACCTGTGGTACAGAGCCTGGTTTTAATTGACTCTTCCCTCTCTCTTCTTGCTTTTCCCACTCCTACCTCTCTCTCAGAAATAAAAAACTGCAGAGGGGAGAGCTGGGGAAAGTTTAAACACCTGGGTAACCTGTTGCTGAGGTCAATGTCTTTTCTGTCCTTTTTATAAGACTCAGATATGCAAATGAGTCACTCACTCATGAAGATGTAGACACTGGTTATTAGTCCTCCCGAACTCGCTCGAGCACGAAACCACATTGGTGCATGACGTTAGTAAGGCTTTGTTACATACTAAGCAAATATGCTTGAAATCACCTTGCAAGTGAAAAAATACGGTATCGAATTCGGGCACAAACCTAATACTGTTAAACACTTCGATTGTTTATGGTCTGACGTCAGACAAGAACCGTGAATAAATTCAATTATCTTATTATCTTATTTAATTATCATTGGCGACTGAATCGATCGGTAGTGGACGAAAATAATTCTGTGTTTTTCTAACAAAAAAGAAACCTTGTGGAATTCACTGCCACATATGTTTATTTTCAATCAGAAAAAAATATTGCCTAAAATACTTTCTGAGGTAATTCGTTCCGAGGCAGAAAACTTAAAGAGTTTTGTCATCAGATGCACGCGAGAGTCAACTCTTTAACTCCCATGAGCAACCAAGACAGAATTTCTCCTTATAATATCAATACAATATCAACCAGATATGTGATGAGAATAAAGAGAAATATCAATTTAGGGATAATTAGTTGATTCAATACTAAATTCTCTGAACTAACATCATAAGAATTCTATGGTTGACAGTAGGAGAATTACAAATTTGATCTGGGAGTTAGAGGATTAAGGCTGTAAACAAAGACTGTTGCGCTGCAATTCAACCATTTCTTGAGCAGCTGAGGCGGAACGTGACATATGAATGGAAAATAGAAAAATTTGGCTTGTGCAGGCGAAGAAAGACTTGGATTGCAGCGTCTAAATTTGACAAATTTTGCGAACAGAAATTCGATAAACGCAGGATACTATTTTGTGCTGTTTTCGAAGACTACAAATGCGTTTTTTTCCTCAGCGGAGTTGAATGGTTACCATTTTGGATCTAATTCTGGATCTCTCTGTGACTTTCAGTAAGCTTGGCTTTTGAGATGAGCAACCTCTCATTGCTGCAAGAAATATAATTACAGTTTCACAGCCATTTTTCATCTCTAGATGAAGAACTCTATGCACGAGTTGGCCATAGATACTCTTTGATTTCAGTTAGCAAGACAAGTCACTCTTTCACCCAGTTTTTCTGTGTAAGCAGATTAAAACCCAACTCCTAAAACATCCAAATTGCATCGACCATGGGTCAGTTTACAAGAAATATCAAACGAAAAAAGGGAATTGAAGAAAGGAAGCAGCAGGCTAAGGAACATCGTAATCAAACGGACTTTCTGGAAGAACGCAAAAAAAGTAAACACATCAACAAAAAATAGAGGAGAAAAACTGAAATTCTACTGAAAGTACCTTTATTTATATCAGTTACGTCTTAAGAAACACATAAATGGTTCAAGTAAACATACCCTTACAAAATTAAAAAATATCTTGTGACAACTTTTCTAAAAAGAGGTCACTTCGAAAAATAAATTGTTCTTCACAGCCTACAACAAAGCTTCATGTAGTTATCATAAAGAGTCTTACCATACAACATGGCTACAACTCTATTAATTAACTCTTTGCACCTAAGAATTATCAACTACAAATTTCTCACAGGACTTAAAAGTGTCAGCACATTATCACACTAAAGTAAGTTTATGAGAATCAAGTAACTGATCACCAAAGAATAATTACTCTAACCTTTAACCAATTATGGCAGTCCCTCTAGAAAATATATATATATGAGCAGAATTTATTACTAAAGACAAAAATATTACATCCGATTTTCAACTACAACAAAATCCGAAGCAGTCCAATGTTTCCAAATTATCCTCGCGTGGATAATCTGGTGGTTTACACGCACGCGCGTTACAGATGAAGCATAGTTTCTTTTAACAGCTTTATCCATTAAACGTGACAAGGTAAAAGTTGTGTGGATAAGATTGTAATAAAGTGTAACGGTCTCTTGACTAAACGTACACGCTTTTATAAAAGCTCTTACAAAAGTAAATAATCGTGGCAAACAGATGCTACGTAACTCTTATACTAATACTGATATCGATAAATGGAAGCTACTGTACATTTACCCTGTTCAAGGTCAGAGTCATTAATCGCTGCTTATTCCTGACGTAAACGCTTCTTAAAGTTGGTCATAAGGCAAGGTAGCCATGTCCTACAAGGGTTCAATTTATTGCAAGTATTGTCAAATGAGGATGACACTCCTACGTAACACCCAGAGCAGCAGCGCTATCATCACCAATTTCATTATCACTCAAATCAAACGTTGTCAGCGATTTGTTATATTTCAAACACTCACCCAGAGCAGCAGCACCATCATCATCAATTCCATTACCACTCAAATCCAACGTTGTCAGCGATTTGTTATATTTCAAACACTCACCCAGAGCAGCAGCACCATCATCACCAATTTCATTATAACTCAAATCAAACGTTTTCAGCAATTTGTTATATTTCAAACACTCACCCAGAGCAGCAGCACCATCATCACCAATTTCATTAAAACTCAAATCCAACGTTGTCAGCGATTTGTTATATTTCAAACACTCACCCAGAGCAGCAGCACCATCATCACCAATTTCATTAAGACTCAAATCCAACGTTGTCAGCGATTTGTTATATTTCAAACACTCACCCAGAGCAGCAGCACCATCATCACCAATTTCATTATAACTCAAATCCAACGTTGTCAGCGATTTGTTATATTTCAAACACTCACCCAGAGCAGCAGCACCATCATCACCAATTACATTTTCACTCAAATCCAACGTTGTCAGCGATTTGTTATATTTCAAACACTCACCCAGAGCAGCAGCACCATCAGCATCAATTCCATTATCATTCAAATCCAACGTTGTCAGGGATTTGTTATATTTCAAACACTCTGCAAGAGCGGCAACCCCATCTTGCGAAGATTTTTTCAATTTTAATTTTGTCACAGTTGTATTTGTTTTCAGAAAGTTGCTTAAAAAGACAGCTAGAGTTTCATCCACTTTTACACTTGAAACTTCAACAGTTTCAGTTTGAAGAGAAGCGCCAAAAGCGGTAGCCAGTTTTTCATCAACATTTTTGTTCTTCTTTTTGCATTCATTAACACACTCTAATATAACGTCCACGTCTTCCTCTTTTTCCTGGTTTAACTGTGTTGCTATGCTTTTTAGAAGGTTCACCACTGTTTCCTCGCATCGTGCTGCTAGCATACCAAATGTAAACAGAAGCACTTCTTTCAGTTGATGGCGATATTTTTTGCCAGCAGCTATGCCTTCTTAGTACACACTCCACTATTTCCATGTACAGCTTCGTTCTGCTCTCAGGAAATATACCTTTCAAATCTTCATAGACCAGGCAAAGAAGCGCAGTGTTGAGAGGATTCGTCGATATTTTATATAAGTTGTAATCATCATGCAGGTGTTCGATAAGCTGCCCGGCCAATTCTGGTTCGGCTCTAAAGTAATTTGTGACGAAGGTTACTACATCTTCTCTAGTAAATCCCTCAACCTCTAGCAGCGTGTCGCAGTATTTTCGAACTTTCACTCCAGCTTCGTGTCGTGCCGTAGCAACCACGCGACAGTTTGGCAATACACGGCCTTGAATAATTTGCGAAAACATAGGTAGCTTCTTCTCAGAAACTTCATCCAATCCATCGAGTACTAGAAGAACATTAGATTGATTGTGGAGAATGACGTCGAAGAATCTCTCACGTTGGTCTTCACCTTGCTGCTTTGTTTCTCTTTGTTGTGCTACCAAATCGTCCAACCTGTGACTCATGTTTCCAAAATCAATTTTGATTTGATCAAGGTAATTTTTGACGTCCCCTAAGGATGAACATTTCAATATTATTAGCGGAATAGAAGCCTCAACTGATAGCCACTCCATTTAAAATAGATCGCGTATGAAAAACAATAAACTTTTCAAAAATAACTTAATGTCATTGCTAATGAGCGACAGTAATTCCCAGCTCTGCTGTGCAACATGTCAAATGGTTTTGGCAGAGGTTTAGATAACTATTTCCATAATCGGGTGACGATGGTCTTATAGGCGGCTGTGCCCGGAAAAGAGCTGTAAGGCAAAACCCAAACACGATAACCTCGCCGGTTACACGAACGGCGATGAGAGGTCTTATTGCAAATCCTTCTTAAGAGCACCTTTTTGCACGCAAAAGACACAAGACTACTTTCAATGAAAATTAAGCATTATTCATTGCCCATCTTTAGACTTTTCTTTCAAGTTTTTGTCTAAACTGTGTATTGAAAACAAACAGTACATCTTTACTGTAATGTCCGTAATTTCCGTGCGATCGTATGCCAAATTGTGTCCGTATATTTGGCTAATTCATTATTTGCAGTGTGAGCCACGTTAGTTTACAAACTTTGAGTCGGTTATTTCAACGAAGTCTAACCTAAACCACGGTTTTACACAATGAGCCTTAGGCATTCCCTAGAAGAGGGTTGATTTAAGTAAATAAATGTCCTTCCGCAGTTAGCTTTAGGCTCTCTTGACACTTTTCACAAAAATGACTTTTCAGACAAAAGGTTCGGCTAAATTGAAGATAGTTTAGGATGTGGTTTTGTTAAACAACGGCCAAACTTTGTGTAAATGACCGGGCCTTTATGTTTCGTTCTACGAGGTTATATAGGTTTAATCTGTTTTCACGTTGTTCACTCAAAAAATACAACATTCTTACGGTGAACACCCTCTTAATATTAACTCTCCCGAAGCTCCGCATTTCAATAGATGAATCGCCCTTGAATTTATAGCTGCTGTAGGGACTAACCTTGATGCTGTGTTTCCTCTTGTCGGGCCATCATTAAACTTGACACCTGATCAATGTCATTTGTCATTTTTTCTAAAGTTGAAAACACATATTTGTCTGAAAGAAGTTTTTTATTCGTATTTCATGCGTATATGAAACAACCAACAATGGAAAACCAAAAAACCTTCATTCATTCCTTTTAATTTATTTGGGAGTATTAGTACCATTAATACTTTTTTTTCCGTTTTTATTGTTTCTTGCTGTTGTTTTCCTTTTTTTAGGGGGGGGAGGGGGGGAGGGGTTGTGGTACATTCTCATCAACCATTAAAATAATCAAACCACATACAGCAATATGCACCTCACTGCGCTTTGACAGTTGATAGGTTAGAAAATTTTAAAGCACCTCCCATACTTCTCAATTTTAAAAGGTTAATTTTAATTGTAAAAGTGACGTTATAAATGGCATTAAGAATTCACCCTGATCTTGTGCTTCATGTTGTCGTGCCATTAAAGTGTCCAGCTTGTCACGTAGATTTCCAACTTCAGTTCTCATCCAGTCAAAGTCATTCGTCACTTTATCTGAGGGTAAAAACATTTTTTCGATTTCGTAAGTTAGAACTTCCCTTCGAAAACGGGTCTAAATCCTCTTTGAAAGGATTAAATGTCTTCTCAGGTACAAATAACGCGCAAAAAAGCGTTAAAAGCTAACAAAGATATGTGCTAAAGATTGATAAATCTCATGCCAAAACATAATTTATTTTCTGATCAGAGATTAAGCGAGAGAGATGGAGTTTCATCCTAAACTTACCTCGATCCTTTGTTTCCTGTTGTCGAGCCATGATCGTATCCAATTTTTCCACAATATTTCCGACCTCACATCTCACCTGATTAAGATCTTTTTTAATGTTCCATGTGCTGGCTGAGAGTGGAAAATCACGTTAGTTTTCCTGCAGCAGTCTTATCTTTTTTTTTATAACATAACATTCAAAAACCCTTTCACTCCCACGAACTCATTGGTAACTATCTAGAGTTTTTCTCTCTCTCTTTTGCTTTTTTTGTTTTGTTTTTCCTACGTTCGTGACAAGATGAAAAACATCTTTCTCTATTTCTTTAGCCGAGCTCAATATTTACGATCTTTCTTATTCTATTTAAAAACAGGCTGCTATCGACATTGCTGATCCTAATAGCATGCAGGACGCGTTTCATATAGGAACTGCGTGATGAGCCTAGCTAACCATAGCGTCTCTGTGGCTCAGTAATACAGCAGCGGAGCGCGGAATCCGAAGGTCTGAGGTTCGATTCCTCATGGGGAATCAGAATATTTCTTTCTCCAGAAAAAATTTTTCTCTTTATCTAAACCTGTTTTTGAGAATCTGTGATTTAACCAAGCGATAATTAACAAATAGAGAAGCCTTGACTGTGCTCTGTTCTGTTATAAAGCACGCAGGAAGCGGCTAGAGCACGAAAGAAGTGTAGGGAGAAACACGAGACGTAGTCGAGTGTTTCTCCCCACTTCTTGAGTGTTTTAGCCGCTTCCTAAGTGCTTTATAACAGAACAGAGCACAGCCAAGGCTTCTCTATTTGTTTTATAATAAAGAATCCATTGAATTCCCCGAGCATTACTTTCAATTTTCAAAACAAATTTATTTCCAAAGCGAACAACAGTGTCGTCAGCATGCTCTATACTCTCATAAAGCACGCTACAATAAGCCAATCAGAATCCCTGTTCGAATGGTTCAAATAATCTGATTGGCTGTACAAGACTAAAGCTGTCAAAAGTGTCAAACCATCAAAGTTAAAAAACCATCAAAGTTCACCTTCTGCGATAGTTTACAAACTAAAATAGTTCGGTAGGTCGAATTTAACACTTTTGCCTGAAGTTTTTAAGTCTCTAATACAGAATCTTGAAGTGAAATGTTCAGTGAACTTCAGCCGAATTATGGCTCATAAAAACACGCGAGTTTTTTCACATGACAAGGTAGAAAACAAACTGTTCAGGGCGAGCGTTTTTTGAATGAACGACAGCCGAATTCACCGGAACATGAAGATCGCTCGGGATGACAGCGCCGCAAAACTCGGCTGCAGTGACAGATGTTACTTTCCACTCAACGCATCGGAAAGGATATCAGAGCAAGCTCTTATTTTTTCACTCGAAGGGCGGCCGATGTAGTTTCCGAGGCTTGCTGTGATGACCGGAGATCGCCATGATGAGCGAGCCGCGATGGACTTCAGCATGATCATATTCGGTCAGACACCGACATGATTAGAATGAATTTTAACAATTATGCCAGTTTGGTTATATTTTTCATCATTTCTGTTTTGTTCTGTTTTGTTTTTGAACACTGAACTTTGTATACTATACGAGTGTTAGCTGTGTTTGATTTTTATTACCGTACGTAAGCTTGCAATCTAACTGAGCGTGAAAATCTTTAAAACTCGGAATGTTTATTTTGTTTTTCCTTTGAGGATTTTCGTATCTGCTCACGTTTTAATAACGTAAATTACGGCGCCTGGTATGTTTACAAACCTTTGTTTGATTCTTCTGTTGCTACTTGCCGGCTCGCTTCAGTTCCGAAATTTCACTTTCAATTATCGGAAAAAAGCTAAAAAGAAGTCCCGGAAAAGGTCGAACATAGTACAATTGGCAGATGGCGTGACAGCTGTAGCTCAGCTCTCTGCTCTATACTCTCATAGAGCACGCTCTTTCAACCAATGACAGCGCGCGTTATATCCGAACTTTACTATAAATTCCTCAAGGGGTTTTTTTTCTTAATCTTCAGAACCTGTCTGTTTACCATTGTATCGTCATTGGTTCTATTTTTGCTTCTGATCAGATGACGATTTGCTCGAGTATTCTTGGCCAATGTGGATTATGGCCACTGTAGATTACCAGTGGGTAACATTAAAAAGTCGTAACTGAAACATAACTACACCAATAAAAACCTAAATGCCCGAGGCTGATTTTGTCATTCCTCCCGACACCTTTTGCTTGGTTGAAGTTACATTCTTAGGTACGAATTATTTGCACCTTCAATTTCTTGGAGCTTTTCTTTAACATTGTCTTCATCTTCCTTCCACTGCTTCAGCAGCTGCCTGTAGTGTTCTTCAGTATCAGGGTCCATACCCTCAATCTTAAGCTTACTGATAGCAGCTCCATAACACGCTCCTGCCATTCCTACTATGGCATTGCTAATGTCCAGCCAGTAGTTGTTGAATGCAACATCGTCCAAAGAGGCTTGGCTGGCATGGCCACACACAGTATTACGGTAGTATTTCAGCCTGGCGATGTTGGCCTGCTTACTCAGATCTGTAGACGGGGGAAGTCTGTCCCATCCAGTGCTGGGAGGAGCTATCCCACAGATGTTCCTCAGTAAAACCATCAGTAGTGTGATATCAAACCCTGCCGATGAAACAGATGATGGAATAGCTGGATACAGTTTCCCCCATTGTGTTGCATTCAAGACCCTCTTGCTCTTTAGATACTTAAGTGTTGCATGCTCTGGGTGACGCCCCAAAACTGTATGAAGTCCTACTGGAGGGTGAATGGCATCAAAAGTGTCTCTCAAGGCTTGGGATCCAACATCCACCAGAAGGCGACAGAGTCGGGCATAGTTGGTTGTCTCCTTGGTAGAAGGAGATGCTGGTGTAGCAGCTGATGCCATGTGCTGTAGTAAAGATCAATTCATCGTCATTATAAAGAGGGTGAAAGGGGTTTTTGCTTGATGTGTGACTGAGTGTTTTTAATTTTTGCGATCTGTGAAAGTATGAAGGTAAAACCCCATGAACTGTAAATTTGTTGCTTTTTGCAATAATTATGTGAACCTTAAAGTTGTTTAATTACCCAATATTTAGTGATGCAATATTTGAACTTTTTGATGTAACCTGTGCAAGACCCCTCCCCCCTTCACCCCCTGTTCAAACATATCAAGCTTAAATAAGCCAACAATTCTTATCAACCATGTTATAACTATTGATCAGGATTTCGTATTCTTAATGAAAAGAATTAACGTCATTGAAATGGTCAAGAATTCTTAACATATCTGTTCATTTTACAGGCAGTATTCTTACCTCAGTTGAAAACTAAGACATGCACCTGGAAGAGGTGACTTCTTTCTGAAATTAGGACAGATGAGAATTATTAATATCTTTATGTACATGTTTAGTATAATAATTAAAAATCATCTTAGTCTCATATGGATTTCTATCACTAAGTACTTAACACTTTCACTCCAAACTCAGATCTCATTAGTAAATTCTCCCTACTGTCTGCCACACAATTCTTATAATGTTGAGTATTAGATCAACTTATTACCCTCTTTTTGATATTTTTCTTTATTCTCATCACTTCTCTGCCTTATATTGTATCAATATTGCAAGGAGAAATTATGTCTTCATCACTAAAGTGGGAGCAAAGCCAGTTAATACATGTATATAGAGTTTCTTGGGCTCTACCCTTATCAATTATTAAAAGATAATAATCTACTAATAATCCACTATGTCATGAACTTAATAACAAATTAACTAAGCTCGGTACATTTTTACTTTTGTTTACCAGTCCACATGCTGTTAGGATGATTACAACCCCCTACTGCTCTGCAGACTGCACCATTACAATTATACAATTAGTCTTGCAGATTTGTGCTGATAATAAGTATTATTATAATTGATCAAGTGATTTAATAGCAATGTGCATGCTCTTGTTGATCAAGGATGATGTGTAATTTCTCGCTACAATCACCTTGTGCAAGGTGATGATTGCAGGAGCACTAAATTTAAAATAGTTTCATGCCTTGCATTTTGTCAATGACAAAACTTTTCACAGTTTTTGTTTGTTTTGGTAGGCACGCGTAAGCATTTAAATGCAGCATTGATGGTGTTTACTTTACTGAATTACCAGCCTCTGTGTTACTCCAGACCTTGAAACAAACTGAACAGTATCACTCAGCAGATAATAGGCTAACAAAGTGTGTCAGGATATCTCGATATTCCCATTGGTTACTGAGAAAATATATTGTGAGGTTGGATTTCCCTTGATGTCAAACTCCGATAAATTGTGAGAAATAGTTATTTCAAATTTGATTAAAGCCTTATGCACTTCTGAGGAACATTCAAGGCAATTTTCATGAAAACCCAACAAATCTACATTACCTATTAATGTAGACTGAGGTAACTTGTGTAAAAACAAACCTCTAGTTTTTGACTTTCAAAGAAATTAACAGTTTTCTTGCCTCCTTTTCAAAAGCAATATGTGTCAATGTGATCATGCCACTGACCATTATGAAACGCAACATGGAACCCCTGACTGGGAAACGGGAACATGAGTTAAACATAATCCTAAAGTTATCAAGCAAGCTCAGGTGAAAGTGAACAACTTAATTTCAATTTCTTCGGCTTGTGCTCTCTTCCTTTTTTAGTCCACTCTTTTGGGCCATTTGATGAATACTCTCATTACTCAACATTTTGCAAAATGTGCTAAAGATTCCCAGTGAATGTACAGTGCAAGATGTGATGAAAACAATATATGCAAATTGAGATCCTGGACAAAAGTCTACAGAAAACATTAACACTCTGCTGGAGGCCAGTTTCTAATTATGGCACCTTTTGCTCTCCTGTATAGGTTTCCTAAAATATTCTCTCTGTTGTATCTCACCTTTTTAAGATTTTTTTGGCAAATTAAATGTCTTTTAGGTGGTTTAAACTAGTTTCTCTAACTTATGAGAGAAAAAAATTTGAAAATTTTGAGCAGATTTTGTTGACAGTAAATATGAAAATAATACATGAAAAAAACATTAAAGGATACACAAGAAAAGAAAATGGAAAATGAAAGACATTCATTGTAAAAGAAAAAAAATTCCCAAGTATCTAAGTGCATCAAAGATATTGGGATCAGTACACATGATCCAGATATTGTACAACTGCAAGTTCAATTTGTTTCAATTTTGCCATGTTTAAATTTAGCCATTATCTCATCAGGCTTGACACAAGAATCTTCAGTCTCTAGAATATTGAGAAGAGCTTTTTTGTTTCTTTTTGGAAGGATTTCTTTAACAAATTTTTCTATTCATTTGGGATCTCGTTACAGATTTTGACACCTAGAGTACTTAATCCTAACAAGTTGTAATGTTGATGAGCAAGTAACTATTAGGTATAATTGTTTGATGTTCTCACAAAAGGTTTAATGATGTTAGAAGGTGCACTGTTGTTATGAACATCATGCAAACTTTAATTTACATACAGCTTCATAATATAAGATGGTAATACATGCATGTAGGTAGAATTTTTGCATTTATAAATAAATGAATGGCATGTTCTTTTCTATCAGTAAGGTAAATTAAACATAATACTTGCTATTGGAGAACAACAATTTTGTTTACTATATACTTTTTAGACCCATTGCCCCAAGCAGGGAGTCCATGGGTTAAATTAGGTAAAATTAAGGATTTGTAGATATTTATGAGGACAGATAATGGAACAATCTATCTCACCTTAGCAATGATTTGTATGGTCTTACTTATTTCAGCAATAACACAGTCAATGTGTTTTTTCCAAGAAAGATTTTCATCAATTAAAACACCTATTAGACAATTGATGTAGCTCTTATGTTCTAAACTAACTCTTCTATTTGTTTCACTATCAAATATACTTCTTTGATAAATTCTCCTTGTCTGTTCCATTGGAAATGTAAAGAGAACAGTGTGGAGAATATGAATATCAATGTCTTAGGGTGTTAAAGGTTAAAAGTCAAATGCAGCAAGGGTAACCCACACAATTCTATAAAACCCACATTGCAGGACATCCCTATGCTACCTTCATGACTGAGATTTTCTTCTGCATTTTAGCCTTCAAATGGGATGCCACAGGCATCACCATTCTAAGGGGGGAATGGGGGCATACTTCCCCTGAAAATTGTGAAAAAATTTGAATTTGCTATGGCATACTTTAGTCTTAAAGCGAGCAATTAAAGCTGTTCATAGAGTACCTCATCATAAGCTGCTCTATAAGCTGAGTCATTATGGAATTCAGGGCAGCTTGTTGTCCTGGATCCAAGTGTTTCTTACTAAGAGAACACAGAGGGTAGCCTTGGAGGGTGTTTTATCAAATCAGTGTTTTGTGACATCAGGAGTCTCTCAAGGCACGGTTTTAGGGCCATTACTGTTCCTGATTTACATTAATGACTTGCCCTTATGTATTTCACCAACAATGAGATTGTTTGCAGATGACTGTTTCCTATACTGTAGAATAAATAGTCCAGTTGACTGCCAAAACATACAAAAAGATTTAGATGCATTAACTAAATGGGAGAAAGATTGGCAAATGTCATTCGGTGTTGATAAATGCCACACCATCTGCTTCTCTATTAAAAAAATCTAATTTAGATACAACATATGTTCTTAATAATCATGTTCTAACTCAAGTTCATCACCATTCGTACTTAGGTGTGATACTTTCTAAAGACCTTAAATGGTCAGAGCATATTGTGCAAAATTATAACATCAAGTGCCAAACAAACTCTTGGTATCATTAGGAGGAACTTTAGAAATGTCTCTGTAGACTGCAAATCCAAGCTTTATAATAGTTTAGTTAGGCCTAAGATTGAATATGCAAATTCTGCCTGGTATCCATATTTAAAAAAAGACATACATAAGACTGTACATCGTCTTGATATGATCCAACATTCAGCAGCTAGGCTTTGTTTCGATAATTATTCCAAGGAACCAGGAGTAGAAACTGATATGTTAAATAAATTGGAGTGGCCATCTCTCAAAGGAAGACGAATTCTCTCTCAATTATCATTGTTTCATCAGATTGTTTATCGTACTGTTGACAGGGAGCGCTTTCAGATCTCTTATCGGGGCCCCTCTTACAAGCAAGTAAGCCCCCAGAATAAGTTAACGCAAAGTAATTCACTTAATCACGGGTAAATCGCTGATTGAGCACCGCTATTTCTAGCCCCCTGCCACAGCCTGTCAAACTCGAAAAGAAAAAGGGGCCGCCAGATGGCAGGTTCTAAACCGCCGGGTCGACATGAAACAATTTTGATAATTCAGATGAAGTTTTGACCAACAGGAGTTTGCAAGTTGTCTATTGAGTCAAATAAAAAATATTGTCACCCATGAATCTGCAAACACTTCGCGAACGGTGTGGCAGGCCTTTAATTAGTGTGCTATTGATAACTCTATCACACCTTGGAACTGACATCACGCACCAAACCGTTTGATTGACAGCAGCTGAAATCTGCAGTGCGACTCAAGTATATATTCCCAAAGCTAAATTTGTTGACCAATCACAGCTGATAAGTTCTAGACAGGCAAATTGATATTCTGCTCATTGATAAACTGGGCACTGTGAGTAAATGTCACGAAAGACAATAGCATTCTGCGCGATGAGCAACCGAGCGACTTAGAGTCACTTTAGGTACCTTTTGCCACAAATTAATTCTGCAATCTATGAAAAAGGGTAGGCTATTAAGCTTTGTGTCATTTAATCGCTGTTTTTAGCACCTTTCACACACCACAAATCCCTACCCGCCTGACCCCAATGGATCAAACTCTCACGTTAAAAGAGTGGTGTTGCCCAAGTACATTATCTAATCATGTCATATTCAGTTTTTTAATAAACTTCATGCACATTAGCGTCTCTGTGCAGCATGAAAATCTCTGCAGCAAAAAAAGATGGTTTTTTCGTCTTGTCATGAGCTTACGACATAAAAAAAGAGTCCTGAGTCCCCATGAGGAATTAAACCTTAGGCCTATGCATTCCGTGTTGCATAGGAGTGCAGAATCCAAAGGAGGAGTTATCTGGAGGAAGTAGGATTTATTGGAAAGGAAAGGATGAAGTTATTGCTTTGTCTTGTAGTATTTTCACTAAACCTTTATCGTGTATAACTTCTAAAATGCTGTTGTGTAATTAAAGTGAAGGAAATTGTGCTCTAACAAGGGAATCTTCCAAAGACCTGACCTTCCGATAAGCAACAATTAGTGGATTAGGATATATTTGCGCCAGGTTATTGTTGCCTGAAATAAGGTGCCAGTGTTTCATAAGAATCTTTTTGAGATTCTGGTAAGCAGGGTTGAAAGTCCTAATAAATAGCAAAATCTTTTTAGATAATTTCGGT